TACCCGGGGGCTAAGGTTACCTGCACACAAAAACGGGGTTGGAACRCAGGGAGATGGTCAGTGCGGCTCCGAAACACGCTAGCTGCTCTGGAGGGAGGCTGGGATTTTTTCATCATGAAGCAAGAGCAGATTTTGCTTCATAAGCCGCCAGTCTGTAAAGCTAGAATAAAGCAGCATCTGTGCTGAGACCTGAATGCAGTCCTAAGTGATCTGAAAAGCAGGTAAACAATGAGGTAGCCRCACTTGCTGATGATACAGAATCAGTCAGGATATCAAGACTGACAGGAATGGGTTAGAAAAGGGTCTCAAGACACACAATCCCTAAGCCATAAAACTGCAGGCAAAACTAAATGCTAATGAATACAAATAAAGATGCAACACTAAATAAAATTACATAGTAATGGGGTCTAAGATGGCTATTTCCACTCAGGAACGAGCTCGTGGAATCATTCAGGGATAGGGACCTCTGCGTTTCCAGGGGCTTTTGCACTCTTGTGACCATCCCTGGTGAAGCTGAGGTTTGGCTTGTCGACTGAGATGACAAACTGGCTGTTGGAGGAAGGAGTACAGGGGTCATACAGAAATACTACGTCACAGCTCCTGCCTCTCTGGAGTAGACGTTTTCTGTAGGACTTAAAGTTTCTGCCTTTCAGCTGCGACGTCGCCACGTCTAATGGAGAGGCTGTGCGAGGTCTCCGTAGCAAAGCTGTGCCCTGCTATTTTAAGATTGTCATTTCCTCTCGCCTTGGCTCTGCAAAAAGGGGAATTTGAGGACTGATGAGTATGTTTGGAAATGAAGTAAAGCTCCCATTTAATTGCTGATTAAACAAACCAGAACTGYTGCGAGGGGTCAGACGAAGTTCACCGGCCGGGTGGAGATGTGAGGAAAAGAGCTGTCGCATGTGGGTGTTAGCGCTGTCCCTGCGGCCGCAGCAGCTCCCTACCCGGCCCGCCAAAGCAGGCCTTAGGTGGGATACCCAAAGGGAGGGCTGGGAAGACAGGGAAGATTCCCTGGGTGCTCGTCCCTGGCAGCAATCACTGCGAGCAGCGGCTCCCGTTCCACCGTGGCCTCATTTCCACGCTAATCCCACAAGTGGCTCTGCGCAGCCAGATCCCACGGCCACGTGGAGCTCTGGGGCGATCGGCCGAGCCRGCCGCGGCTGGGGCGCTGCCGGGGGGCAGGTGCCACCACGGGGCTTTGACTTCAGTGTCCCCACAGATGTTGACTTTTTTTTTTTTTTT